ACAGACTCTAAGGAGACTTCTTTACAAGCAACTTGCAAGGAACGTCAGACTAGATTATGTATTATAGAACAAAAAAAAAACTTATAGGTCACCATATCAAGTCTGATTCATTTCCATATGAAACAAGCATGGATATGGATTGAACATGAAAACAATCTTGAATTCAGGTTCATTTATACTTAAAGGTGTCAAAAATAAAAGGTTCTCTCCCCTTCCAGAAAAAAATACTCAATTCTAATTGGAAATGCTGATGGAGAAAATCATGTAAAAATTACATAAAGTACAGGGTAATCTAAGGTTCTTTCAAAGATGTAGAATGCCTTCCACTGGTTAAATGAGTATCCTGCTCATAGCTCAGCTTGTTGTGTTAACAATTATAAATTAAAAGCTAGTTCTGTTAGTGTAAAGGTTAACTGTTTAAGAAGATTCTGTATCATCCAACCTCTATTTGTAAAAATAATTGAGATCTACATCCGCAGCAAGCTTACCTTGAAAGTAGGAAAAGCAAACACTTAGATGTTTGTCTCTGGTGGTAACCAACCCAATGCTTGGCACGATGATGTCACGGCCTCCTTTGGAATAGACTTTTGGACAGAAAAAGATACCGTGACTTGTCTCTTCCAGGTCACGTATTACTTCAAGAGATGGTTCCTCCTCAGGCAGGATAATCGCATAATCGACACCCTGTGGACATGTGGAAACGAATGGAACAAATCTCTTTAAATTTCCCTGTTTTTGATAAACTTGCTTTATACAAAATTTTTGTGAGTGTTGTATCACCAAGCACACGACATTTGTTTAGAATATCCTCAAGTTCTGCTAGCATTTGCGTGACCTTGCAACGCTTTGGGACTGAAATCACTGGCGTGTTTTCGGGACTTTTCAACAAATCCTTCTCGTATTCTAGCTGTTCCGTTCCATAAAAATCTTTGTATTTCGATAAAACGGTTGTTTTAAGTTCAGCCGGAAATCCACAAGTTGACATTGCTTCCTTGATGAAATCAAAACTGAACCTTTTGCAAGTTGACCGAAACTCGCGTCGGTTGTGATCTTGATGGCGCTTCACGATCTCTCGTACTTTCTGATGGGTATAACTAAGCAGATATGGAATAATCTAAAACAAAAGGAAACCAGAGACCTTTTTCGCCCCAGTCCTTGGTTCGTCCTCATTCGATCTGGTAGAATTTATCTTCTTTTTCTTCTTGTCAAAGAAAATAAAAAAGATTGAAAACAAAAGAATGTGCGATCCTCTCTAGGCAAAGCGTAGTCCGCTATTGAGCGGGCTGACCAAATCCTTGTCATCTTGATTTGGCGTATCTTGTGCTGTTGGTGGGTAAATATCCATTTCTTCATCGGATGAAGTTGGCTCGTGTCACTCTTCCCCTTCAGAATCTTGATTGAAACGTGACAGATTCAGATATGACATCCAAATTTTAGCTCAATTGTTCGTGATCGATAGCCATGTTTCTTTTTTTGTTCTCGGGTTTTTTAGCGTACCCCATGTGAAAGGCGGGTATATCCGGGATTTGAAACAAAGATGAATCTTTTGAGTCGCAAATGGGTATTCTCAAGTTTAGCAAAGCGTTTTTTCGAGTCTTTCAACTTCTTTTAAACTTCCGAATTTTACTACATTGACGATTTACGCTCTAACCTAGAAAAAATTATTACTGACCATAGTTAGTAATTAAAACCTCCGTCGTTCCTGTTTGTTCGTTGCAACCCCGAAAAAAAAATTCAAAAGTGTTTCATAATACACAAAAATCCTCAAACCTCGATGAT